TAAAATGTACCAATAAAGTTAATGGGGAAAAAATTTAAAATAATTTTAAAGTAAATAAATAAATAAAATAAAATACAAATAGTGCTGCATTTGTAGCTTTTTTAGACAAGATCGGGCGCGTTCAGGGTGATATGGCTGTAGACTGTCACTTTTTTAAATAATAAAACTAACCTGTAACGAATGTCTGCATTTAGCTCTGTAGCTCATAAAACTTTTTCTCATTTTGAAGTTATAGTTTGTTTTAAAAGTCGACACTTTCCAGTTTTATGGTTAGTATTTACTTCAACATTTCGTCAAAGCTGGCTTGATGTAGTGCATTCCTCAGATCTTCAGTCTCAGGAGCAATTTATTTACAGTCAATAAAAGACTGGAAGCCAAATTCCTTTCTCTGATGTACCCAGGACACTTCCTATTGAACTCGATTATATGCGTTTATTTGAAGGAAAAGTTCTGGGAATGTGATAAACGCAGTCTTGCCTTACCTGTAATCAAATTAAAATAGCTACAACCACAGTGACAGTGTAGGAAATAAGTAAGACTGAAAAGAAAACAACCTCTCTGAAAGCAAATCCACTTTACCCCCTGGTCCCTGACAGGGGGGCGGCTGTGGTCCATGGGGCATGTCTTCATCAACCAGCGCTGTTTTGATGCCTGCCTCATTGTTTTCTGAAATGTCATCGGTTACATATTGAAATATTGAAACTTTAGTCCAGGCTGTCTTTATTTCATATTCTTAAATCTTTTTTGAAAATCTAGGATAATTATCTAAAAAATCAGTTCATCCCTCTAATATATGATTCAGAAATACATTGGATAAGGATTTACGAGACCAGCCAGAAATGTGTCATTTGCATAATAACCTACACATAAGCCTGTAACCTGCTACTGAATCTGTTCACCATCTGAGAGTGTGCGGAGCTGCGGAGTGCAGATGGACTTCAGACGCTGTGTTTGTCGTGGTTTGATGCTCTATTTGCTGCAAATGTGCTGTGAGAATCAGATGAGATCAATTTTGTGGAAAGACCATGAGATGAAGCGAGCCTGATTCAAACAGCTGATGCCAGGAACTTTCCAGTGATGCTGCGTTGGAGTAGCTCACCTGCGTTTCAGCTCCCGGTCCTCTCTAGTTGCCTTGTGGAAACATCAGCGTCGAATGCTTCTAACTGGGAAAGCCACAAGGACCGCCTTCAACTGCGCCTCTGCAGAGTGCTCTTCCCAGTGAGCGTTGCATCTAAAAATAAATCATGTCTTTGAGTTGTGCATTTCTTCTAATGGATTAAAGAAGAAGTTGTTACTCTGTTGAGAATTATGAGTTTTTAGAGACAAAAAAAGTGGCTTTGTTTCTGGCCAAGCTTGATGGAATGCTTACTTTATAGGAGGTTGCTTCGGTGACCCGTCCACTGCAGTCAGGCGCCCTGGTTCTCAGGAGGGCTAATAACAAAGCCAGATGAACGTAGGACAGCAGCCGCAAGGGCTGTCTGAGGTGCAGTGGAGGACTCACAGGGCAGAGCGGCCCTCTGTGGATCCCACCAGCTCCACGACCCCCTGCGCTGGGGGCTGCTGGCCGTGACCATCCTCTGTCAAACAGAGCAGCCGAGCCAATACTGTCACCTGGCCCTGCAGCTGGGTCTGGGGCCATCAGCTGGGGAGGGACATGAGTGCGACCCAATGCCTCCTCCTGTTCACATGGGTGGTAAAGATGAGAAGCCAGCGCCACACCTAGAGGCAGCAAAGTCTCCCCTCAGAACAGCTGGAGCCCCCCGGCGGGGACCCTCACCCTACCCCGGGAAGTGCATCACGGGGTTAGGAAACACGGCTGGAACTTGGTTCCACAGGGTCAGTAGAGAATAAGTATATGTCTCTTCACGTCTGGCTCCTGGGCCAATTTCCATCAAAGGTCGAGGCCCACTAGCCTGGACGGAGCAGTGCAAAGCGATCAGCTACACTGACCAGACCTCACCCAGGACAGGGCGGAGATGGGCCTGGGGAAGGAAAGGCTGGGCGGGTGATAGAAAGACAGCACACCCCTGACATACAGCACACAGCTATTCGCAGCTGTCAGTGGAGGAATCGGGATGTGCCTGAAATGCTGGCGGTTTTGTGAGACCGTTCGCTCTCCGTGCTTCCCTCCCCTGCCCCCGGTCCTATCCTCCCCTGCCTGTCCTTGTCCTGTCCCTCTCCTGTTCTCTCTTCCTTCTCCGGTCCCTTTCTCTGTCTCTCCCTCCTGCCCACTCTCTCTGATGCCCCTGAGTCTTAGCTGACCCTGAGGATCCCTGGACGGGTCTCCCCAGGTGAGGAAGGGCTGCCCGGATCAGGCACGGTGCCCACAGTGAGAACCAGGAGCTGAATGTCGAGGAGAAGGAGAGAGGCGCACTATGGCAGCCAAACTACTTCAGCTGGGGAAAAACATAGGATTTTGCTCATACTGCTCTTGAGAGAACAAAGCATTTTGCAAACAGAAAGTCCAAGGTGGCAGTCACACACCACCTTTTCAGTTACGTAACTAAAAGTGTATCCCAGCCAGAACTGTGTTTTGAAAGTCACTGTAAAACATGTGGCTTTTCAGGAGGCTGTGCTTCTATGCAGCGTTGTGATTTTAATAGCAATAGTCTGTAACCCAGCACTAACCTCCCCTGCTCTGTGTGGCCTGCAAGTGAGGAGGCTGCTCAGCTGAGGGAGCCAAATGAAGACATTCATTAGTGCTGGTGGCTCTGCCTTGTTCCGACCTGGTTTTATTTCCCAGTCTCTCAGAAAACATTGCCCATTGGCAGCTATGTGTCAGAACTACATGTGTGGAGCTCTGGGCAGCTCAGTCGCAGAGACACACACGGCTCCGTCCATGGCCTGCCCATGGGCACACACAGTGGCCTCTCCCGCCCTCTCCTGGGGCTCTGCTCCCAGGACAGCGTGAGCGACACACCACACTGACTGCGTGGAGCACCTGCGGGCTGGCGACAGGCGCTTCGGCTTGGTTCAGTCCGGAGCGTCACAGACTCAGCCTGACAGCCCAGCCGGCCTGACTTTGCTCCCTCCTGGCTGTCACAGCTGACCTGTGCCAGCAGCCCCGTCCAGGTAGACTGTCTCTGATGTCCGTTCATTTGCACATGTACTTCGGCACCGTGGAATGCAACATGTGGAGTAAGCTGGCATCTACGTAGCCCTCAGAATAGACTCGGTCTGGAGAGCAGGACGGCGTGGGGATCCAGGGCGTCAGCAGCCGTGGTAGGACCACGCGTGGACTCTTCCAAAAAGATGCGCTTTCCTCAAGCCTGTGGGGTTTTCTAATAATTGCCACAATATCTTACAAACACCGATCCAAAAGTGTGGAGCTTCAAAGCAGTAACATGCTCAGTGATACGAGGCCTCTTAGCATATTCTCATATTTTCATAGCAATAATTTCTTCCTCTGCCACATATAGGTTTTAATAGTTAAACACTCCAAAGTGTCATTCTAAAGCAGGCTTTTTGAAGAAAAGGCTAAAAGCTCACTTTCCATCATTTAAAACACCCTTTTACCCAGCATCAGCACAAATAAACGTATTACCATAGCCATGTGAATCATCTGCGCACCACTGCACTAGTCTGGCTTCTCTTTCTTTCTGCTTCTTCTTCACGGGATTGTGACCATCAGCCTTGTTTCCAGGGGTTTTGTGTTTCATGCAAACAGAAGTTTACCGACCATTCTGGGGAGCCACACACGACTCTCCAAGGTTCCTTAATCGTCAGGAGAGAGGATCGATTCTTGGTCTTTTTGAGTCCAGTGGTGGGGCACCGGGACCACAGTGAGCAGGCACATGGTGCCCGACACCGCTGTGGAGCCGCCCGCACGGGGCTCGGTCCAGGGATTTCCAGACTCTTACTCCAGGCCTGGCCTTGCACCCTGGGTGGCGTTAGCCTATCCGGTTACAGGCAGGGATCAGCAGGATTCAAACAAATGCCGCCTTCTTGCAGCTCCAGTCAGAGATTCCAGGGGCATAGCCAAGTGACTCCGGCTGGCACTGACAAGGCCCCCAGTACCAGAAGCCCAGGTCCAGCTGGACGTGGCCTGGTTGGAGAGGGATCCCTGTCTGTCTCTTCGGACAGTGCACTGGGCGGGCTGGGCTGGAGCCACAGCCTTCAGTTTCCTCATTGGGTTTTAAACTCCTGTTAAGGAGTCTGTTTGAGGAGCAGATCTGTTTTTATTATAATTGCTTCTCCATCTGTCTTGGTGTTTTCTATAAACAGAGATGAACATCCTGCCTGTTAGCGGGTTTTAATCAGAGCCAGAGTCTTCCTGCAGAGCAGGGGTGGTTGAGCCTGTCCAGAAAGCTGAGCTGATGGCTAACCATTCCAAAGACGGGTTTTAAACAAAAGCTGAAGGAACATCTCACTCGTTATGATGAAATTACATATCGGCTTTTTTTTAGATTAGGAAGGAAAATTATATCATTGCGTGTTTAATGCGGACACTTTTCTTTGGACAGGCTCCCCCTTCGGTGTACAATAATTAAAGAATAATATAAGAATAAGAAACTGGAGAATGATACCATCCTGAACGTTGATTTATTATGCAATCTTAAATAAAATCCTTATGTTCTTTGTTCTTTAATCTTCCTCATAAATAAAATAAGAAGAAAAACTGTGTGAGTTTAGCTGAAAGGTTAATATAAGGTAATGTGAAAGTACATAAAGAATTACCTGAATGTGTTAAATCTTGTTATGCTTAAAGCTAAAAATCTTTTGCTGAAATCTCACCACCACTGCATAAATAAATGGGAATTAAACATTCACCTGCTTCACTAAATCAGCATTTTTTCAATGAACAATTGTGTAGTATATGCCATTGTGATTTTGTTGCAAAGTTGAAGTCACTTGAAATATAAAAAGTGAATACTTCTACCGCTCCTATGAAAAATAATTTCTTTTTCTAAATATAACAATTTCTAACTATAAGTGATAAAGTCAATTTTTCTGTTTCATGGCTTTATTTTTTTGTCCCACACTTTTTTTTAGTTTAGATAAAACATTCCATGAAAGTCACCTTTGGAAGGTATATGCTTCAGTGGGTTTTAGTATATTTGCAAAGTTCTGTATTTATAATCACCATAATTCCCAAATATATTCATAGCATGTAAAGAAATCCCAGGTTCACTTGTAGTAACTTGGCTTTATCAATTCCCCTTTGCCCCTAGTTAATATTCATCTTGTTTCTGTTTATGGATTTACCTTTTCTAGGTATTTTGTTTTAATGTTTCTAGCTTCTTTTTCTCTACATGTTTTGTAAAGTTCACTCATATTCCACTATGTACCAAAGCTTCATGTATTTTATGACTGGATGACGTTCCATTATATGGTCATATGACATTTTGTTTATACTTTTGTTCATTCGCTCATGGACTTTTCGAGTGCCTGTATTTTAGTAATTCCCAAAATATGCAGCTAAGAGCCTCTCTGTGCACATTTTTGTTGGGACTTGTGTTTTCATTTCTCCTGGGTAAATACCTGGGAGCAGTATGGCAGCATCAGACATCAACTGTAAGTTTAATCACTCCACCAACGGCCAGTCTGTGTTCCAAATTTTTTCCTCTACTCACAAACATTTATTATTTTAGGATTTTTTTATTGTAGCCATCCCAAGGGGTATGAAGTGGCATGTCATTGAAACTTTGATAGAATTTTTCTGTTAACTGTTCTTTATTTATTCGTCTGGATTAGAATTACTGACCAGAGTCTGGAAACATCTTTCTGTCTTTCTTTCTCCTTTGCTTTGGCTTTCACAGACTTAGTATGATGATCCCAAGTGCAATTGTTTGAGTTTATCCTAGTTAGAACTGACTGAACTTATTGAATGTACAGATTAATATGGTCATTAAATTTTTTACTTTATTGGCCATTGTGTATGCAAATGTTCTTTTGGTTCCTTTTTATATTTCTCTCCTCTACTTCTTGGAAGCCCATTATGCATACAAGGTGACTCTTGTTGGTACCCTGTAAGTTTCTGAGGTCAGGGCTATCTTTCTACATTTTTTTTCTGGTACTTATACTGGATGATATGAATGAGTTTATTTTCCAGTCCTTTTTTTCTGCCTCCTCAAAACTCTCTTTTATGTTCTTTTGTGAGTTTCTCATTTTAGTTAATATGTTTCTTGTCTACAGAATTTCTACTTGTTTTTTAAAATGGAATTTCTATTTTTCACAAATATTTTATGCTTAGTGACACATTATTCTAATTAGCCACCATTATCTTTAGTT